TGAAAAGTAGAGCAACTCATGAGAAGTTCAACTTAAACGTTTGGGAACTGTAAAGAAGAAGAGGTGCTGCAAGCCCTCCCCCGAACAAAAAAATTAATGATCAACTCAACCGTCGATCGGCACAAGCGAGTTCATCACAAGCGGAGTCGACTGTATAAGGGGGCTGTATACTATTATTTATAAGTGTTGTAATAAGCCTCTGTCGGACTGTCCGAATATATTTCATACTTACATTCGTGTCCATACACCAAAAGTTAGAGGCTTTTTAGAGTGGAAATGTTTCACGGCGCTTGCAACTGCATTAAGTCATATTATGAGCGCGAGAGGCACAATAATGAAGCTTCGTTAGAGGTTACTTTGGTGGGTTGAACGGCAGAACTAGCAGACGATATATTCTTCTTAGGATGAATATCTCGAATAAACAATCTACGATCAAACGCAAAAATGCATGCGCCAGTTTCTTTTATAATAATCCCTCACGCTTCCAAGTAATCTCCGCATGATTTTGAAGAGCGTGTTTCCACAACTCAGCATTCGATCATTTAGGCATTGTGAGAAAACTACACATAAAAAAACAAGCAAAAAACAACAACAAAAAACTCATTTCTTTCAAATACAGTTATCTATGAAAGATTCTAAAAGAGTATTGATAACGTCCTTACGAAAGGTTATATCGAATATTGTTAATATAATAAAATATTTTTATAACGCATTAATTTCAAATAAAGTTATCTTTGAAATAATCTGAAAGAGCACTAATATCATTGCCATTATTATGAAAGGTTATCAAATAAATACCATTAAACTATTCTCATTATTAATGTCACGGTAGTCACCGTATTGTACCTTACTCTTTTTTACTCACGGGACGTAAGCGCCCTGTATGCCATGGGCTCTTGGTTAATGTTACTCACTTCGGGGATCTATAAAAAGTCAGACACTACACCCGGTCTCAATACATTATTAGAATGCTTGCTGTCGTGTGTGTTCGTCTCTAGTTTTGCTGTCGTGTGTGTAGACTAACATTACAATTAATGTTTCAACTCTTCACGGGTGAGACAAGTACTGAACCAAGCATACCACAATGAACAGCTAAAAACATGAGCAGAATATACATGTACAATATTATACCTAACTCCTGAATATTCTGCCACAAAAAATGAACGGAGGTAATGAAGGCAAAGGCTCCACAAAATAATACGTAAGGAATGAACATGATAGGAAACAACTATAGATATATATCGAAGTTCGACATGAGTGCGGTGAAATCACATAATCCAAATTTGAAATCCTGTACATAACACTGTCTGACAATAGCCTAAATCTTTTTTTTAAATATTGGTCTAACTTTATTAAATACCGTAACTTCAATTTTTTGGTATCCTAGAAGAGGTATTGTAATGTAATACCATATAAATTACATCGTGAGCACACTCCGTTAGCAACTTTCGCTCACTGCGAATGGATTAAAATACAGGCAGTCAGTAATAGTTACACTCTATACATGAATGTTGAATTTCAACACATTCGCACTTTGATCGTCTTTCAAACTGAATATCAGTAGAAAGAGAGAGAGAGAGAGAGAGAGAGAGAGAGAGAGAGAGACAGAGGCAGAGAGAGAGAGAGAGAGAGAGAGAGAGAGAGAGAGAGAGAGAGAGAAGGAGAGAGAGAGGGAGGGAGAGGGTGAGAGGAATCAACTGAGATACAGAGATGGAGACAGACAGAGAAGGAAAGAGAGAGAGACCGATACTAGAATATAATATATTATATATTTTTCCCTTGAATTTATTACCGGATCCCTTTTAAGGAGAATCCTGCTTTTACGGGCATTTCGCACCAGTCCCCTCCCTCTTGCTATAATAGGATTCCACTGTATATATATATATATATGTTTTATGTATATGTATATAAAATATATAATATAGATAGATAGACAGATAGATAGATAGATAGATAGATAGATAGATAGATAGATAG